TACATTCGTTAGAAAATACAAGAAATTAGCACATTCGTTAGAAAATATAAGCAATGGGCATATCTCATAGCAATGATTCATCTTATCCTAGCAATGTATAAAATTAGCTCAACATATTGAAATTATAATAAATCATATTTAAGTGAAAAGATATAACCTGAATTTTTGATTAATTGAGAAGATGAAGATGAATCTCGAAATTTTTAATCTCTTAAATGGTTTCTTGATGAATCTCCACTTGCACCTTCTCTTCTTTGCCCAAAAATCAAGTTTGAATCTTCACTTGATTGAATTTTTGCAAATCTTCTTCATTATCTCACAAAAACATGAATTCTCCTATTTGATGATAATAATGATGAGCATTAGAGTATGAGATGTTTATGAAAGGTCTCCAATACATATTCTGCTATTAAGTATTTGCAGGAGTCGAAAATTGGTTAAAAATCATGTCCAAATTGATTTTCAAAAGAGTTCCAATCGAATAAGAAAAATTATCTTTGCGCGCGAATTTTTTGTCTCTTTACAATAGTCAGTACTTTGACCATAACTTTCTATCCCAATATTCAATTGGAGAAATTCAAAGTGAGTTGGAAAAATTACTCAATGAGATACAACTTTTCTAGAAATAGATATTTCCCAATTCGAACGTTTACTATGCTAAAAATGGGTTTCAAACCTTGGCTAAAAATTTGAAATATAACTTGTGCGATTGAAAATTGATTTTAATCATATTCCATTCCTTTTTGAATTCTAATTTCATCCAATTATCTCCTGAAAATCTTCAAAGTATCATCTCGTGGTCCGAATCAACTATTGAGTTTGCAGTTTGGTTCTTAAACTTCGGTTTTTACCATTTTTTATACCAATTTTCGCTTCTTTCTTTCTTTCTATTCCTTGTTCAACCATTGAGTTTTACCTATATAACATAAAATACAATAATTTAGGATATATTTTGTCAGAAGAACTATCAAATATCGCTATTTTAGACCTCAAACAAGTGTATAAAATACATTTATCATAGAACGACAATACAGTTGTTATCTTCCATGCAAAATGACAGTATAACCATTATCTGTTATGGTCTATCCATTATTGATAATACAATGTGGTTATTTTGATAATTTAACTATGATAATTATTTTTCATATTATTTTGATATATACTTGAGTAAACTATTTAATTTTTTTATTTTATTTACAGATATGGATTCTGTAGAAATGAAATGAGTACATATATGTTATTTTGTTGAGTTTAAATAGACTAAACAAGGTAAATGGACATGGAGTTATGTAAGGAATGGTGAAGAAAATGTGGATATTCTTTATGTTCTAACTAGCATTTCGTTCATAAACGCGTTGATGTCGAAAAATGTATGAGCTAACTCATCCCGCCATTGGATGAGAAGATGAACATAGGTATAACGAGTCAAAATGCTTCGAGGTGAAAGCTCTTAGCCCAAAATAAGATGCAAGTGAGTGATGAAATGAAAAGTTTCATTGTTAATTTGGAGACGGGGGCATGCACATGCATGAATTTGATCTAGA